GGAATTCGGAGGACGGAATGGAATTAAGACATCGAAGAACAAGCATCCGGGAGGAATTTGATGAGGCTACCGAGTTTGTGAAACCATCTGTAGCTGAATGTAAGTGTTGTAGAAATTTTAAAGATTGCGAACAGCACCTTGGAAGCCCAGATGGCGAAGGCGCAATAGACTGCAGCATGAAGGAACAGTGTGAGAAAAAAAGAAGGTAAAAGTGAGATAAGACGTTTCGGTCCATTAAGTCAATAAGTCTTAACACTGCTGTGTTTGGCAAGAATAGTTATTCGATGTGAGGCAGACAGACCAGACAGTTTTCGAACCTTCTATCGGCCTTTATTATCACGAACAGGTGTTTTTCGCCCTTTGTGTCAGGTTAAACTGGCGATATTATTTATTGCAATGCTGTACTTGGTCGTAATCATCTATTTTAGATCAGATAATCGAAGCACCGGATTGGGATGATGGCTTTGGAGGCAGCGAGAATGATTTCGGGAAATCTATGCGTCAGAGGTTGCTCCATTGGGGTCCGCTAACTGCCATTGGCATAACATTGATTGTACGTTCTTTTTCAAATGTTTTGCAGTAAAATATACCGAGACGCTCCAGTCAGTGCTTCAGTTTTTGCAGTTCGACTTTTCACATCTGTGCTATGTCTGATAGCACTAAATCCGCACCACATAATTTTCTGTGTGTATATTATGTATGATAATTACTACATTATCGCCCACTGATCAAGATATCGTCGAGACTTATCTTTATCGCCCACTAATCACAGTGCCATCTAGATTTTTATCACTAAGACTTATTTTTGTGCTGTCGACAGATTTTTTTAGCACCAAGGGATTATATTCCCTTTTGTTTTTACACTACTTGACAAATTGGTACTCCTCAGACTACGTTGATATGTACTGTCTGTCGGATCCCGAGAATCTTTACCAGTAAAATCAAATTAATTTGGTGATTTTTTTTAGATTGGTATCGCCACAACGTATCTGCATCTGCTGTGGTGGCCACCAACAACATTTGCTGCATTTCTTCACCTTTCATTTTTCTTATTCTTCAACTATCTCAGTCTGGTG